CTGGGCAAATCAGGTTCCCGGAGGCTTAGCTTTTTGTCTTATGTACTGTATATATATAGATACATGGCCAATTGGTAAAGAGGAGTAGCAAAGATGGCAGAGGAGAAAAAGCAAAAAGGCATTTCATACCACCGGGTACAAATGGTAGCCAAAGCCCTTACCTTTCTTCCTTCCAAATGGCTCAACGGACAAAACTCAATCGGTCTCTCATCACGATACCCGTGAATAAAACGGATCCTAGCAGTGCTCAAAGGAATAGAACCGATTCACTCATTTGACCATCAAAACTTCCTCAAGAGACTGACGTCCCTGTTGCTAACAGCATGAGTAGACAACGGTGTAGATGGATCGTAGATAAGAAAGAAAGAATAGGTGTATATAAGAAGTCTATTTATGATTTTCTTTTTCATTCAACGCTTTTTGCCTCCAATTCTCCATCTAATAAAACGAATACAAAGAGTAGAAATAAGAGGCTACAGATCATCTTTTCCCCAGCATACACGGCACGGCACTACACGACACAACACGGGCAATTCAAACAGGTAAGATAGATAGAGGGAGGAAAACCAAAATATACACACACAAATGGAATTGAAGTTGGAGTTGAGGGCGCAGAGGATAAATAAATTAAAAAAAGGGTAGAACTCTGTATGTGGGTTTGGCAGTGGGCTGAATTTTATATAGATAGTTTGTTTTCCGCTTGCATGTTAGAAAGCTATAGCTGTGTCTAACCGATGATCAGACTCTCCTCGGTGGGGAAACTGTACGGTGGGACTTCGAGGTTGAGAGGTGCGGGGCCTTTTCTGATACGGCCGGAAATATCATAGTGGGAACCATGGCACGGGCAGAACCATCCTCCATACTCACCCGCTTCGCCGATGGGTACACACCCGAGATGGGTGCAGACGCCTAGGGAATGATTTGTTAGAGATTTATCCAGTTACACTGGAAAGCTTTGGGGTTCAAGGGAGGCTGTGAAAAGAAATCAATTTACCAAGCATAACAAGCCATTCAGGCTTCTGAACACGGTCCGAATCGGGCTGAGGATCCCGGAGGCTCTCCCATTTGGCGTTTTCTGCTTCTTGGATTTCGTCAGGGGTGCGGTGGCGGATGAAGACGGGTTTGCCTCGCCATTTTATGATAACCTGTATTTGTTCGGGAGCGCAGAGGCACGCGCAAAAAGTCAGATACGATCATCACTGGATTCACCCTCCAATTTTTCTCCCACACTATCTCGTTATCTCCAATCGAAGGGGATGCAGGGAGATAAATGGAATGCGTACGTTTTTGCCTTCCGGGATCGCAGAGAGCGCAATTTCAACCTTGGCTTGGGCGAGCACGTCGGCGGAAGCAGACATGTTAACGAGGAAATCTAGATTCAACGATCAAATCAGCAACTGTGCAATCCTAATCAATCTTAATGCGAATCCAATTGTTGGCTTGATATCTTCTCCACAACCAAAGGTCCAAAATTATGAAGAAAGGGAGTTCCCCTCCCTACAGGTACAGCCGACATAGTCCATATAAAAGAAGCAGTACAGCGGTAAAATTCGATAAATAACTATAGATGAATAGCAATGCAATGACAATTCGAAACCTACCTTGCACTGTCGCTTTGGCACCGACAGCAGTCACCAAACCCATACTGCCAGCCATGAAGTAAGAAAACACCTTATTCGACGACTCGCCGGACTTGCTGGCATATTTCTTGAAGCTGGGGATCTTGAGGGTGGACGCGCCCTCCTTGGATTGTCCGAAGGGGCTGTCGAAGGAAGATGTCGTCGACGTGGAGGAGGTGGTTCGTCCTCGGCGTTGTTGCTGGGAGGTGAGTGTGGCTGCTTTTCGAGCGAAGAGAGCTGCTGGCGGGTGCAGCCCGACGACGTGAGCCGCAGAAATGGAGAGAGGAGGCATGGCGGGCGAATCC